AACCGCTAGTTTCCGGTATCAATAATATTGTTTAGCCGGCAATCAAAAAAAAAAATATTTTTCGTGGTTGCATTTGAAGATCAACATTGTCACTAATAAATGCAGCCAAAAATAAAATGAAATGAAAAGGCAAATTTTAAGCGGCTACAAGTATGGGAGCATTCTGATGACGACACGTGTATTTTCCACGAGGGCACCGTTTATCCACTACCTTTCTCATTGCTCTTTATATAAACCAAACCCAAAAAACCTTTAATATATCCACAAATCCAAGGGAAAAGTTGTTTTGGATAATCAAAGACACCAATTTCACTTTTGTCTCCTTCTTCTTTCTGATTCATCGTTATCCATTTTATTTCCAACAAATTTAGGGTTTTTAGCGAAATCGGTCGGATAAAGGATAAATCTCTATTTTCCGCTTCTTTGATTTTGTATCGATTTTTGTTTGTAATCAAATGGAGGTTTCAGTGATTGGAAATCCTCAAGCGAGGATCTGCAGAGCAGAATTAGCGTACAGAGAGCTCGGATTTAGGTTTGGGTCTCAAGTAATCTCTGCTGAATCGAAAAATAGGGTTAGTTTCTGTAACCCAAACTCGAAATGGAAGGAGATCGGAATCCGTTGCTCTCCGATGTCTGTCAAATGCGAAGCCATCGTTTCCGATCAAGTTCCGTTTCTCAAATCCACTCCAAAACCCAGATCGGTAATTAAACCTCTTCTCTTCTCTCTCTAGTATCAAATTCAAAACGAATCCAGATTTTTTTCAGATCCAGTATGAAATTTGCTTTAGTTGAGATAGTCATAGATTCCAGAGCTGCGTCTTTGTGTAATTTGTATCGTTTCCTGGGAAATTTACAGAAATCGCAGAAAAAAATCAATTCAGATTAGAGCCTATGAAACTTAGCAAGATTTTTAACTCTTCCTCTTTATCCAATTTAAAAAAAGTTATTATATTAGGAAAATTCTCTATGGACAATGAATATATAAACATGTTTCGACTGTTTCTTTGTTGCAGCTTGAGAGCGTAAGATTATTCGTTGGGCTACCACTAGACACAGTTTCAGGCTGTAACAACGTGAACCACTTGAAAGCCATCACGGCTGGGCTCAAAGCTTTAAAGCTACTTGGCGTAGAAGGAATCGAGTTACCGATCTTTTGGGGAGTGGTTGAGAAAGAAGCTGCAGGGAAATATGAGTGGTCAGGTTACTTAGCAGTTGCAGAGATTGTTAAGAAAGTGGGACTCAAGCTTCACGCTTCACTCTCTTTCCACGGATCGAAGAACCCGGAAATCGGTCTCCCTGACTGGGTGGCAAAGATTGGTGAAGCTGAACAAGGGATCTATTTTACAGACAGATATGGGAAACAGTACAAAGATTGTTTGTCGTTTGCAGTAGACGATGCTCCTGTTCTTGATGGGAAGACTCCTATGGAGGTTTACAGAGGTTTCTGCGAGAGCTTCAAGTCTGCTTTCTCAGATTACATGGGAAACACAATCACGGTATAAATATCATCTTTGTTTTGCACTTGCATTCTCAGTTTGTCTTAGTCTTGTTTGAGTTTCCTGATTTCTGCTCATTTTGTTTTGCAGGGAATTACATTAGGATTGGGACCAGAAGGCGAGCTAAGATACCCTTCTCATCAACAAGACGCCAAGCTCTCTGGTGCGGGAGAATTCCAGTGTTACGACACACACATGCTTTCCGCACTCAAACACTACGCTGAATCCACTGGAAACCCTCTTTGGGGACTCGGAGGTCCACACGATGCTCCTGCTTACGATCAGCAGCCTCATTCCTCTTCCTTCTTCTCAGACGGAGGGTCCTGGGAATCACAGTACGGCGATTTCTTCCTCTCTTGGTACTCGTCTCTTCTCATCTCCCACGCAGACCGAGTCCTCTCTATTGCGTCATCCGTGTTTAGCGGAATTGGAGTGCCTCTATGTGGGAAGCTACCTCTCTTACACCAATGGCACAAACTAAGATCTCAGCCTTCTGAGTTAACAGCTGGATTCTACAGCTCTAATGGTCATGACAGGTATGAGGCAATCGCAAAGATCTTTGCAAAGAACTCTTGCAGAATGATAATACCGGGAATGGATCTATCCGACGAACATCAATCACCCGAGTCTCTCTCGAGCCCCGAGTCATTACTTTCCCACATCAAAACATCTTGCAAGAAACAAAGAGTCGTTGTTTCTGGGCAAAACTCGTCCGCACCAGTCCCTGGTGGGTTTGAGAGGATCGTTGAGAATCTGAAGGATGAGAATGCAGCAATTGATCTGTTCACTTACCAGAGAATGGGAGCACTTTTCTTCTCTCCAGAACATTTCCAAGCTTTCACAGTCTTTGTACGGAACCTGAACCAATTTGAGTTGTCCTCATACGATCAAGCAGCAGAGGTTGAGGCCGAGACGATGAACATAGGTTCAACCACTGGTGCAGCAGCTAGTTTGCAAGCCGCTTGATGAAAAGTCCAGATTCATATTTATGTAAATAAGAAAGTCTCCTATTGTTTCTTTTAGCATTTATATGTAGATTTTCTCGTATTCATGTAAAAAATTATTGTATCCATGTATTTCACAAGATTGAAATTCTGAATTTTAAGACAGAGAAACCTCTTGATAACGTTTACAAAGGCCAAATTACAAAAGACAAAAAGAACTAAACATTATCAAATACAACAGACAACGAATGTCTTTTTACAAGATCACAATTTACAAAATGCTACAAATCACACTCTTTGAAGATAGAACAAAGGATTACGAGAAACTAGGAGTCTTACAAAATCATTCACAAGCGATTCTGGTTTCAAAGCTGCTCAAGCAAATGGCGAAAGCCTGAAAAGCTGAGATAGGGTATCCATAATCCATGGTGAACATATCTTTCCCGACTTTACCAAACTGCAGTATTATCCGCTCGTTTTGCGTATCTGGTGACAATCCCGTGCCACCGCCACCACTAGCTGCTGCCACCAGCTGAAAGTTTTTCACTGAAGCCACTGTGACACGGCCATGGAAATTCAAGCACCAGCAACGTAGTTGCTCATGCCATCGCGGTGTTTTGTTGCTCAGCACCAAGGGTGCCTCTTTCAGGTGGCTCAAGCCGCTGCGTAATGGTTTTGATTGGGACCTGGAAAAGGTTGACCGAGTACCAATGAATGGAAGCTCTGATAGTTCTGAAGCTACTCCTGGAGGCTCCACGACGCTTCTAGGTACTGTATCCATTACACATTGCATCTTTCTTGGTCCCCTATTTAGCCCATTATTAACAGGTCTTAAATCAGATTTGATTGAAACCAAAGGTCGCCAATCCCGTTTGACCAAACAAAAATACATTTTGCAAATAAACCGATTCAATGAAAATTCCTCCAAATATTTTGCAAAAGGGAATCCGAACCAAAATTGAGTTTCTATCTTTCATATTGAAAGGTTCAAAAACTGGAACATCCAAACCATTTTCAGTAATTCTTAAGAGAATGTATAATTTAATTTTTCATAGACAAGAGGGTTGTTAGAGAAAATTTTCTGAGTGAAGTAATCAAGCTGACACAAAGAACAGTTCGAAGAGGAAAGTTAAATCTGAAATATCATTACCGGGATCCTAAGACGTTCAGCTCGTATGTGATATGAGCGACGGGGTAACTTCCAAGAGGAACTTTCAGTGAAACTTTTGAGAGATTAGAAGATCGATTCTTTCTCATCTTCGCAGCTCCTGTAGATGGAAGCAGATTTCCGTCAAAGACGGTGAATTTTGTCCCTAGGAAGTTTGATCTTCGACAAGTTGAGAAAGAGCAAAATATCAATAAGACCTCAGATAAGACTCTTAATCAATCCGAAGCTGAAAATGCTAATAATAACCTGATAAAACTCTTAATCAATAGTGAAAATACTCTCCCACGCAATTTCAGTTTTCAACAGGTTAAAATTAGTAACCAATGTGTCAAATTACTGAATGAGAGCTTGTTTTGATCATAAATATATATATACACACCTCACTTTGCCAACATATGCTTGGCTTCTCCTCGACATATCATCAGCACGCAAAGAGATAATGTAATCAGTGCAAGTCGTGTGCTTTAACTTACACGCAGCAAGCAGAAACTTCCCATCATCCGTTAAAGCTTCACAGACATAAAGAAAGACGTCAATCTAACAATCGCAGTACCAAGAAAGATGTAACCCGTTGTTACTCTGTCGATTGCATAAGAGCCGGTTAAACAGAGATTGATGCTCACAGTTGGTTAACCCGAGATACAGATGATACGATTGCGTTGTTCGATTACGTTTGATGAAGCATTGAACCATAGAATCCCTTGGACCAGGCTGCAAAAAGGTACACACCAGAAAAAAAAACAATCCATTAAACAACATTTACATAGGACTACACAAGAATCAAACTCTCATATCTCTCTTGCTTAATGATCAACACCGTTATATAGTAGCTACTCTACGTTTCAGAGCAAATACAATTCTAATTTCAAAGTGCGTAAACAAAAATCGTAACTTTATGTCTTAATTTCTATATAGAGATAGTGATTGGAAAATGAGAGAAACCTGCTTGAGAGAGATGGGGAAAGTCAATTTAGAAGAGATCTCAGGGACAGCGACGGTTTCGTTCATGAGTAGTCGCCAGCCACGGCAGACGCCGGCGCAAGCCACCACGGTGCGTCGCGACGGCCATCCGCCACCGTCCGCCGCTTCGACCCGAATTAGAATCTCTCTTAAAAGCTCTTCAGGGATCTCCGACCAGCGATAATCTTCCGATGACCCGGAAGTGGAATTGACGGCGGCGGCGGCGGCAAGGTCGTGGACCACACGATGTGACCTCGAGCGCATCTCCAGGATTAAGCTTCGTAAGGTCATGCGAATTCAGAGGATATTTAATGGGTTTTCGAAGAGAGAATGATCGGAATAAGAGAATTGGGTTTATGGATTAGGGAGAGAATGAATGATTGAGAGGTTTTAGGTGGAAGAAGAAAGTGGTGGTGGTGTTGTTGAGAAGAACACCATAATTATTAAAAAAAAAATTAAAAGTTGTTCGTCTCTAAAGAACCTTTACACTTTATTACTACTTCTAAAACAA